TAACAGTCGTGGGATGCGTGTTGAGATCCGCTGACTTCCCCTATCCCCGTCGGGGTAGGGATTTCATCTTTAGATGGTATATCGAAGTGACTGCCTTGAAGTTTCTTAGCAGAGGTCACCCTAGGATACCATTAAAAGCGGATGGGCAATCCACTACCAAGAATTTAGTTACCTTGGTCACTTCGTCGAAGTCACCCAATGTGACTGGGAGCAAGATCGTTCCTTTGGGGATCAGGTGGTCCCTGGTAAAACCATACAGGGGGATCGAGGCGGGCTTGAGGTTGACCTCGTCCAAGTTCATTCTTTCGAAAGCTGTTTGGAACAGGATGTTCACAACACTTCCGTTATCCACCAACATTCTGTGGACGTTATGGCGCCCTATTAGGGGCATGATCACAAGAGCGTCATCGTGGGGATGATGCAATCGAACTGCATCCTTTTCGGAGAAGGTAATTTCCTCCTCCCTGCGAACCTTTTGTTGTCGTTGCGTCGTACTCATCACACTGATAGGGCCATGATGGGCTGCGCGAGCATACCTTTCCTGGGCACCTCGCGAGTTCCCTGCGAGGTGTGGCCCTCCAAAGATCAAATTGACGCTGCATATACCTTTGCGATCACGTCACTTCTTTCTTAGTTCCCCTTGATTTTTCTCTTGTACGGGAGCAGAATCATCAATATATTCCTTGAAATGCCCCTGCTTGATGAGGTATTCGATTGCCTATTTGAGAGCTCGACACTTATCGGTGAGATGCCCATTATCCCGATGAAAGCGATAGTATTTCTTACTATTTCTAGCTGATGAGGGATTTTTCATGGGCTCAGGCTCTCTAAGCAGGATGGCTTCTTTTGACTTGTCAAGAATAGCCGATATAGACGCATTCAAAGGCGTATACTGATTTCTGTCGCGATCGCGATGAGGAACATGAGCATAAGACTTTTTGGGCTCATAGCGCGGTTTCTTTCCTTTTTGCTGATCGTCAGTAGCCCATCTGCGATCATCTCTCCTATTTTCCCCCCGACTAGGCGCACTACTTGAAGCACCGGGGTCGCGGCGGTGGAGCACCGCCACAGAATTTTCAATACGGAGGTACTTCTCCGCAAGATTATAGAAGCGGGTGAGGGAAACATCATCCTCAGCCTGCAACTCTTTCCATAGGTCGGTCTGTGGGCGAACTCCTGCTATGATGAGAGTCCGAATAGACTCTTCGGGAGTGTGAGTTACTTTATTTAGTTCTCTGTGGAATCGGTCGATGTAAGACTGGAGGGATTCATCCCTCTCTTGCCTTATATTGCTGAGGTAGTTCAAAGGCATTGAGAACTTTCGGTTTGCTTGGAAGTGCCTTAGAAACGTGGTACTCATCTAAGGCCACGAGCTGATCGATCCCGCTAGGAGCGACCTGAACCATCGTTTGGCATGAGAGGTTAGAGTTACTGCCAAACAATGGCACTTTGCCAAATCTGAAACCTGGTGAAGCTCCATCAAGTCGTTGAATTCATATAAGTGATCCTGCGGATTAGAATTTCCATCGAACGCCCATATGTCGGGTATTCTAAATCTTGATGGGAGTGGGGTGGCTAACATTGCCGGAGAAAAAGGAGACGCTAACACGACCTGCCCTTGCTCATTTTGCTGAGCTCTTAGCTGGTTTAGAGCTCGTTGCAGCTCCTCAATCTGAGGCAACGGAGCTATCTGGGGATTGCTTTCTCCCATGTGAGTCCGACCCTCGCAGTTGCGATTGAGAAAAGTCCGGAGGTTGGATTCCACTTCGCCTTGGCCGGCAGTTTCGACCTCTCTCTACACACGCTGACTAGAGCCGTGTGATGGCGATGAACGATGCAGGGAATTTTCACAACCTCTGCGGTGGTAAGAACCGCCCCGCGGAGTGTGGGAACCTCCCACATGACTATGATCAGGATTGCTTCTTTGGCGGTGATGAGAATCGCCCGCCCAGCACTTTTATGGGGGTTTCCATGCGATGTGGCATGGGACGGCTCGGCTTGTGACTTTTCACCGAGTCTTAACACCACGGGTATTCTACTCGGGACGTGATCGGTGTTCGCTGGCCCTTTGGAGCCCTTAGACCCATTTTTCGCCACTTGCTTACCCTTCCTTCGGCGCGTTGCAATGCTCGCAGCGCGGGCTATTGCCTTTTGCGGCACTTTCGCGCGACCTACAGGCGTTTTTGGCGGTTGCACCACCTTATTTGATTCGGGTGGCACGCCCTAGTCCAAACGGTCCAACCTTCGGTTGACCGTCTGGAGAGTATTATCGAACCTCTCCAGGTAGCTTCTGATGGCAGGGTCAAGTAGTGAACTCGACAGGATATCCCCTAGGACATTCTGCGGAACCGAAGGTACCTCGGGAGAGGTGTCTTCCTGTACTTGGGGGATCTCCTTAACACCCTGGTTGGTTCGCTCAAGTTCAAGTCGGTGGGCCATTTGCTGTTGTAGGACCAGTAAGTTAGAGATTCTCCTGATGAAGGACGAACACTAAATCAGGCCCTCCTTCTAATGTCAAACTGTTGATGCGTGATTTTGACACCAACCAAATGTACGTGTGAAATGCTGAACGAGCCCAAAAGACACACGTGAATGTGAGAATGAGAGTAAATGCAGTGGAGAATAACGTTTAAAGTGGTTCGGATGCTAAGGAAGCAAATCCTACGTCCACTGATTTTGTATTAATGATAGTGGTCAGGTCGCGTTTAGTTGACTGACTTACAAATGATTATACAAGAGAGAGAATGCTATTTTTTTCTTTAGAGAGGGTAGCTAATCCCTTAAATGAGAGAAGAACTCTCAATTTATAGTGGGCTGAATTAAGGTTATGATTACTAAATCTGTGAGTTGGTGAGATTATTCGTGCAAATCCTTATTTATGTCCCATTGCCCACCTTCTAGAGTGATTTACGCGATTTGGTGCAGGGATTGGACACGTGGGATCGTTATCGCTCCTGGCTGGTCTGACGCGCACCCACTGTCCTGACACGAGCATGCCGCCCCTGTCACTGTATGACATGGCTGCCTCTGACTGGCTACGGGCCTACCTAAGCTCTGACTTTTTATGCTGACTGAGTCTTGCATCAGCCCTATATTTTTAGGCATAACATAATTATTGGGGAATTATTTTGTACACTAATACCTTTTTATATTAGCTCCCTTTCTTGTGTTACTTTACCATACAGTATATAATTAAGAATCCCTCACGTATTATTAATGTTATACTATGATAACATTATGGTATTAGAGTTAGTTGTATATTCTATATATTACAATTATCAGCACAGTTGGAATTAATGGAGCGTCATGAAGTAGTATCCAAGGAAATGGGATGGTTTGAATGTGATGCATATCAATACCAATATATAATGATCGCTTCAGGCTTCTGCATGTGTGGAGTTATGTATCTAACGGTTAATCAGTCCATATTATTATACTTCAAAGCAATGAAATAATTAGACAAGACATAACATGATGAAACAAAAACATGAAAAAGGATAAAAGAACTGCAATCAGGTAACTTTTTTTGGATGTAGATTCCACAATAAACCCACAGTTGAAGAAAACCCAAGGATCAAATTACTGCATAAAAAAAAAACAAAAATTCAAGAAAAGAGGGGCAACATCAAGATGAAGATTAACAATAATCCAATAAATAACAATGCTTAGCGAATACATTTAGCAGTAAATTAATGTCAGGTGGCAGCCAGAGTTCCCCCAAACACTTCATTCCTTGGAAAGGTCTTAACTTAAAGAGTTGCAAATATGCACCAGTGAAGTGGTCAAGGGAACTCCAGTTGACAACCGACTGTTTCTAAATTTCTCTTGATTGTTATGCCTTCTATTTATAATGAAATTAAGTTGGAAATGTTATCAAGAGATGGTGACCAAGCCAGCCATTTTGTAGGGAAACCATAGATAAGGAGATGAAATAGATCAACTCAACTGAAATTTCTGATTTGAAAGTAGTCTGAATGATGGGAAGATCAAGTGTCGAGAATATTTTGAGGTGAGTGGTCATAATCTCTCCCCATACATGCCTTTTCAACCTTTTCTATCTTTTCCAATATTCATACAAATGCTTTTCCAATTCAACTGCATTAGCTAGATAAATAAATCAATTCAACATATATACGCTACTTAAGCTTTATCTAATCTAGAAACTGCGCATGCTTGTTCGATATTTCTCTCTCGTTATGTACAATAATCTAGCCTAGATTCGCGTCCAGGTTCACAAACTCAACGTACATATTGTCCTTTCAGTCTCAGATTTGTCTGGCGGAGAGAAAAAGGATCAGAACATATACGTTGCAACTTGAAAAAGAATTTTGAGGACAAGTGTTCTTCTTAAGACCCACCCCTTTAGGTATAAAACCTGCTTGATTCTGAATGTGAGCCCGGATTCGATGGGGCTTGGAGATATAAACTAGCAATCATGATAGACAGTACCAAGTAAAAGAGTAGTGTCGTATAAGCTCGACTTTGTTATTAAGTATGTAAATTTGAAGAATTGTATTTTCAATTCATTGATTTCCAATATATAGTTACAGTCCTTATATAGGTAGAATATAATCCATTGAATCTCCTAATTATGTCAGATACAAATTATACAATATACTGACATAATTAGGAGATTACATAATATCAAGAGTATCCTAATACTAACAAAAATAGGAGATTACAAAATATTTTGAAAATCTCAACACTCCCCCTCAAGTTGGTGCGTAGATGTTACACATGCCCAACTTGTCTAAAACTTGTGAGAATATATGTTTAGAGACAACCTTAGTAAGAATGTCGGCCAATTGATCTTCTGATTGAATCTTGGGCAATTCAATAATATTTTCATCCAGTTTTTCTTTGATGAAAAATCTATCTACTTTAACATGTTTCGTACGATCATGTTGAATTGGATTGTAAGCAATATCACATATTGCTTTATTGTCACAATATAACTAGATTAGTTGATTAGGTTGATAGCCCAAATCTTGCAAGAGAAATCATAGCCACAAAGCTTCACAAATCCCAAGTGCCATTCCCTTAAATTCTGCTTCAGCGCTTGAGCATGCCACAACATTCCGTTTTTTGCTTTTCCATGTGACTAGATTACCTCCTACAAAAGTGAAATAACCCGACGTAGATCGCCTATCATCCATTGCTCCCGCCCAATCAGCATCAGTATATGCATTCACATTTTGGTAATCCGTATTTTTAGTAAAAATGATTCCTTTCCCAGGAGCATGTTTTAAGTATTTTAAAATGCGCGTGACTGCATTCATATGTTGTTCTCCAGGGTTGTGCATGAATTGAATGACTATACTCAATGCATAGGTAAGATCTGATCTAGTGTGTGACAAGTACACCAATCTTCCCACAAGTCTCTGATATCTCCCTTTGTCAACTGGTACTTGATCAGTCTTAATACATAATTTCAAACCTTCTTCAATTGGTGTATCTGCTGGTTGCATGCTGACATACTAGTTTCCTACAAAACATCTAGGGCATACTTTCTTTGTGATAGAAAGATAAATTTGTTAGATTGAGACACTTCGATTCCAAGAAAATATTTCAAATAACCTAGGTCTTTCATTTCGAATTCTTCTGACAAGTACTCTTGTAGAGCCTTTCGTTCTTCTAGATCATTTCCCGTGACTACCATATTATCCACATATACAATAAGTGCAATGATCTTTCCTTTCTGTTTCTTTAGGAACAATGTGTGATCTGAATTGCTTTGATGGTAGCCGAAAGACTTTATAGCTTTTGTAAACCTCCCAAACCATGCCCTCGAAGATTGCTTCAACCCATATAGAGATTTCTTTAACTTATATACCTTTTGGCTGTGTTTTTCTGGTGAAATACACCCTGGTGGAGGATCCATATATATATATATCTCTTTTGACAATTCTCCATGTAGGAAAGCATTCTTCACATCGAATTGTTGTAATGGCCAATCAAGGTTTGCAGCTAAAGATAATAAAACACGTACCGTGTTGATTTTAGCTACGGGTGCAAATGTCTTTTTATAGTATATCCCATGGGTTTGAGTGTACCCCTTTGCTACTAGTCTGGCTTTGAATCTCTCAATTGTACCATCAGCTTTATACTTCACAGTGTAAATCAATTGACATCCAACCGTCTTCTTTCCTGGTGGACGATCAACAAGTTCCCAAGTCTCATTCTTCTGTAACGATTTCAATTCCTCATTCATATCAGCTTTCCATTTTGGATCAGATTAGGCTTCCTGCACACTATTAGGAATGAGTAATACTAGCCTTACAAAGAGACATACAAAGAGCCAAATCCAGCCCTTGAAATTCATGATTGCCTATTTCTCTCTCTCTTTTTCCCTTATTTCAAGGGTTGGATTTGACTCTTTGTATATCTCTTTGTAAGGCTAGTATTACTCATTAGGAATAGATACAGTAGATAATTGATTCACAAATGTCATATTCGATTTTGACAGATGATAATTAGACAAATAATGACTCATAGGGTATTTGACCTTACTATATAGATGTGGTTCGTATGTTGGTTTGAGAATTCCTCTAGTACTACGTGGTGGTAACTATTTCCTAATTGGTTCAGACTCAATTGCTTCAAACTCTAAATTAGGAACATTCTCAACAAATGATGGACTAAGAAGCTTATACGGACGGGTTTGATACCACCTCCATACTTTTATCGTCCACTTCATCTTCTTGTCGAACAACAGGTCTAGTTTGTGACTCATAGTCTTCCACATCTTGAACAACATCTTGAACAACATAGTCAAGAGTCTGAATTTCTTCTTGACAATACCCCCCCTGAAGTTCAGACTCAGAAGAAAAATACATCAATTCTTCATAGAAAACAACATCCATCATCACAAACGTTTGTTGAGTTGGAGGATGATAACATCGATACCCTTTTTGATGAACACCATACCCAACGAAAACACATTTCAATGCATGAGGGGACAATTTGTTGCGTTGATGTTTATAGAGGTGAACAAAGGCTATACAACAAAAAACATGAGGCAGTAAGTTCAGGATTGTTGGAGCATTCATTGCTTTACCAAGAGCCTGAAAAGGTGTCTCAAACCCAATAGAACTAGAGGGTACCCGATTGATTAGGTATGCTGCAGAAGTAAGTGCTTCTCCCTAAAAGGATAACAACATGTGAGCTTCTATTAAGGAGGCACAAATGACCTCTAATAAGTGCCGATTTTTTCACTCAGTAACACCGTTTTGTTGGGGTGTGTTAGGACAAGTTGTTTGATGAATGATACCATGTGTTGCCAAGTACTATTGAAGATACAAACTTTGATATTCTCCCCTATTGTCACTTTAGAGGACCTGAACCTGTGCATTATAATGCGTACGAACTATTTTGTGAAATCTTTGAAAGAGCAAATTAACCTGCCCTTTAGATTTCATTAAACATACCCAAGTCATATTTGTAGTCATCAATAAAAGCAACAAACCAACGGGATCCACCTAAAGTAGTAACTTGTAATGACCCTTAGACATTTGAATGTATAAGCATAAAAGGACTTGGACTTTTGTTGAATGTTGTTCGAAATAGGATTCGATGGCTTTTTGATAGCTCACAAACGTCACAGTGGAAGTTACTAATATCATTTTTTTTTTCAAACAAACTTCGAAAAAGTTTCTTTAAGTAACCAAACGAAGCATGTCCGAGGCACCGATGCCATAATCAGATGTCAGATTTCTGTTTATCCCTTTTTGAGTAATCTACTGTCAAAGAGTGCTTTAACATGGTAGAACTTTGTGACTTTAAAGCCAAGTAATACAACTGCCCTTGTCTAACACCACAAAAAATCGTTTGCTTTGTTTGAATGCTTTTAAACTCACAAAAGTTAGGCCAAAAAATTACCACACAAGATAAAACTTTGGTTATTTTAGAGACTGATAACAAGTTATAATTTAGAGATGGAACAACTAACACGGAATCTAAGTGTAAAGTATTTTTTAGGGTTAATGATCATTCCCCAATGACTCGGGTGGACTCACCATTGGTAGTAGAAACAAATTTTTGTGGGGATGTTTTAAGGTTAGAAACATGCCTAGAATTGAATGTCATATGACTAATAACACCAGAATTAATTATCCATGTATTATTAGAAACGGATGTACACATATGTAAAGATTTATCATCATTTCCAGTAGTGACTACACATGATGATAACTGTTTGGAATCTTCTTTCTTTTCCGCAACAACATCAATAGAATTCTTCTTGTTGTTGTTGTTGGGCTTGTCGAGTTTCATCTGACTCTCATTCTGAGTTTGGAATCGGGTTCTTGCATAGAATTTCTACGCACATCTTTTTTTTCTTTGACTTTGACTTTGACTTTGACCTTTTTACACTTTTTTTGGCGTTCTTTGACTCTTCCTTTATCGAGGATTGAAGAAGCAAAAAACAATAAAATAAAATGAAAAAGAAAAAAAAACGAACGACAGAGTTTGAAACACAAACTCTTTTCTCTGGACAAAATCGGTTTCTGATGCAAAAGAAGTCGACGACAATAGCAAATCGGCGGCGGATCGGAGTCGTCAGTGGTAGATCAGTCACGACATCAGCAGTTTTTTTTGGCGATTTCGAGATTCGATCCGCGTTGGCTGACGACGACATCTTGACAGTGGGCAGATAGGCACGTAAACAAAGATCGACGGCAAGTATTCTTGCTGGATTTCGTCGGTTTCTTCTCGCTGGATTTGGCAGTTTTGACGGAGGGTGATTATGGTTATTGATATTGACAGGTCTGGTGATGGTTGATTGGGATAGATTTCTGGGTATTTACTGGGTTGGTGATTGATGGTTGCAGATTTGTTTGAATTTTTTTTTTGTTTGCGGCGGCTAAAGATGGTGGTGATGTGAGTTGTTAAGTTTTGATTTGCTTGTGTTGATTGGGTGATGTGAGTTGTTTAGTGGCGGGATTTGATGGGTAGACTTTTTCTAGAGTTGTTTGGTGTCAGCTTCTTAGCAACAACTGGGGATTGGATTTTTGGTGGTTGAAAATATGGTTGTTGGTTCTTGATTTGGTAGAAGTTACGAAAGGTAGTTGAAAATATGGCTGTTTAGGGAACTTGTTGGCTTGGGTAAATTTGCAGAATGGTTGAAGGTGGCTTGGTTGTGTGGGTTGTATGGTTGCTGATTGGGTTGTTTTTTGGCTGGAGGTTTGTGTATTGATGATGGTTTTTTTTACGTTGCTAATGGCTGGGCTTGGTCTTTGATTTCTGTTGGATGATGTTGGTGTTGTCAGGATGACGACTGGATGACTTACTTGCCGGTATTTTTCTGGCGGCTGATCTACAATGATCAATTTTTTTTTTAGATCAGAATCTGACTCTAATACAATGTAAATTTAAAGAATCATATTTTCAATTAATAATGTTACACATACATCATTTCCATACAATATTTCTCATACAACATTATGTGACAAGATGTGATTAGTTGAAAGTTTAATTTTAACTTTAAATTAGCCAATCATATCTTGCCACATAATGTTGTATGAGAAATGTTGTATGAAAATGATGTATATGTAGTATTACTCATTTTCAATTCACCCATTTTTAATACATAGTTATAGTCTTTATATAGGTAGAATATGATCCATTTAATCTCTTAATTATGTCAGTTACAGATTATACAATATACTGACATAATTAAAAGATTACATAATATCAAAAGTATCCTAATACTGACAAAAATAAGAAATTACAAAATATTCTAGAAATCTCAACAAAGTAAACAATACCTTCTTTTTCAACAAGGGAAAAATTGAAAAATAAAATAAAACTATATAATTTCAGTTCAGAATTCCACAATTAATTCATAGAAGTAAATACCACTAAAATTGTTACGCAAAACCATTGTCTCATAAAAAAAAAATTCATATGCAATTGTGAAAAGAAAGAAAAAAGTTTATTTCTTCAATTTTCATCTTGTTTTCTGTAAATAACAGTTGTGAAAGAAAAAAATAAAGTTTATGTATAGATTGAAACTGTCAAACACTTTATTTTGTTTTATTCCAATTTTCTTACAAGAGTTGGAAGCAAAACCTGTTTAGTGCAAGGGAATTAATCTTTGTATTTTGAATTTTAAATATCATGAATTCTTATATTAATTGAGAGATTAGGTTAAAAGGAAAACAATTGATAATCCCATTTTTGGACATGTTTTTACATTAATTTTTAGTTGGATTTATGTTATTTTTCCTTCTATGTGGCATGGATTTGCTATTTATTGGAATGATTATTATTTGTAGGTCTGTATTCCAGTTTTAAATATAAGAGAAGGATGTGGGCTGAATTATGGAGTTGTTCATGCTAGTTACAGATATACTTTTTTGTCAGCACCTGTTTCACAATAACTAGCATAACTCGAGCTTTACAACTAGGAATGACCTAAATCCAACAGCTATAGAAATCTAAGAACTAGAGCTACAACTTTCTTGTTTTG